AGAGGAAACGAGGAAGCGCAGGCGGCGGGGTGGGGGGAGCGGGGCGCGGCCTAATTAACGACCAGAAACGCCACACAAACGGATCAGCTGATCTACGTGATTTTATGCCTCCACAGAATACATCACGGTGACGGTAACCCGATTTATGAGAGCGTTTAAGAAGGTTACAAGTACAACAGCACGGAAGTCTCTGCACCGCAGTAGTTTAAAAATCGCTTTCAGTTCTTTTATCGAAGCAGCGTGGTGACAAGGGAGCTGTTGTACACAGGGTAAGCAGCAAGGCTTAAGTTCCGAGAAAGAGAAACGTAATACAAAGTCAAAATAAACCTCAGCTACCGACGGCCACCACTACTCTCCACGTACGACTTTGTCCGTAAGACAGGGAAACCAAAACCTACGAGAACGGCTGCTTCCACTGAAGGGAACCGCGCCGAATTTTCCATTAATAGAAAAGTCAGTAGTAGAACAACTTTCTTCAAAGAAAGAACACCACCAGCCATTCATACTGCATTCTAGGATGTAGTGATAGTAAGGTTACACTGGAAGGACAAGTTCTCCAGGATTTAAAATAATAATAAAAAAGAAAATCTTAATTTGATTTGTAGAGTTCATTATATCCGTTGTGCTTTTGAAACATTTATGTTGCTGGGATCTTTGGCAATCCAAATTCATCCACCAATACGCCATCCTGTAAGAAAGGAAAAGAAACAGAGTTAACAACTCCCCACCAACCAGAACATTTCCCAAACGTTTCCTTACACTTTCTATAAAGCGATATATCTGCGATTGTCCCTGTGTGACAGCTGGGATCAAAATATGAGCATCAGTACGCTTCCTCATCACGAAGCCCCAAATGCAAATATACAGAAGACTTTCTTATGTTTTTAAGAATAACTATACTAGGAGCTGTAACGGTACATTTGAATTCTACTTGGAGCCCGACAATGTTAGACAGGAGTTAAAAAACACCATTTTAGCTCTTTAAAATATAATAAAGAGCATTCAGTACACCGCATTCTCTCATATATAGCATCCAAACTACGTAAAACATTAAGCACGTTTTTTTGTTCAAAATAGTAAGGATTCAAACATCAAACAGCCAACACAAATGTGATTAATCCAAACCAAACAAAAATGTATGTATTTTTCTTTTAAAGAGGAAAGGACTCACTTTGTTTTTCGTGTCAGTAGGAGTGACCTCTGGGATTGCTGGAGCAGATGCGGCTTCATCTAAGTAGGAATTGTCTTCATCAGCTAAAAGCTCATCACCTAACGCATCCAGTTCTGAAATTGAATTGTGTGGGTTGAAAAACTACGCAAGGAATTCCTTTGGCAAAAGAAAAGATGCTCTTACAGAGAAACAGGATTCATACTGAATGCTTACATTCATACTCATTTAGTATTACTTAGTCACCAGTCAGGAATACACACACACTCACAAAACGGAGAGAACCACCTTTCCTTCATTTTAGCATTCCATTAGCGTCTCTCTCATGTTTGCCTCATATTTTTGTTACTGCCCTTAAAGGAAAGGCAGCTTTTACGTTTAAAAAAGTGATTAAAACTCTCTTTATTAAACACACTCGAAGTATTTGACTAATTAAAAGATCACTGTATGATGATTTTTACATTCAGTAATGTAAAAATCATCCTCCACTTTCCTAACCTGCTTCCAAGTCATCTTCATCAATTTCTGGTGTTCCGTAGCTACGACTCAGTGCTTCCTGGACTTCATTGGCTTCTTCCATCATATCCTCTAACTGATCTTGTATGTCCTGGAGCAAGAAACAATTTCAACTGGTCCATATTTAATAGTTTTAGTTAAATTTATCAGAGCTTAATCAAATTCCATTTAATACTTCCAACATACAAGGCACTCAAATTTTTAATGCATAAACCATTTTTTGAAGCAGCATTAATAAAAGTCAAGACACATGCATTCGGTGCTATAGCATGGCCTTAAAATTATAATAAATGTATGAGGCAGAATAAAAGGAACTTTGACCCAGCAGCTCTGCACAACTCTTGTTTTTTTGTTTTAACCATTCTTCAGAGTAAATTGAAAGCCTCTAATAAATTACCCACAGTTCAGCACTATCTTGAAAAGCAGGAGAGTACGAAATCCAGAGAAATTAAACCCACTGTCTGGGGAAAAAGCGCTAGCCTGAGTTGTGCCACAGCAGAAGTTCAAAGATACTTTAGCATAACTATTGGCACTGTACTTGGGTATAGGTAAGGAGACAATACTTGGCTAAAGGTTTACAATGCAGGCCATATATAAAAACAGCACAGGAAAGAGAACTTAAAGCACTGGCATTTGATAAGAGCTGACGTGCAGCATACTTTAAATTATATTTAAAGATCTTATGTTTTTAAGCTGCAGTATCTGAAGACAGGGCCAGGCTTTGCAGGCCTCTTGAAATGAATTTTATGTTTGGATTGTGTTTGTTGTTGTTGTTTGTTTGTTTTTTTTTAAATCTGGCACTACCATGAACTAGGGGAGCAAAGGACTAGTCTGCACGTAGCAACAGGGTCAGAGCTGGGGGAGGACAAAAAAGCCATAGCAGGAAGTATTTACCCACGTTTATGCTGGAGTGCTGAGGAAAGGAAGGGGGAGATTAAAGACTAGCCCAGCAAGGAAACAACAATCAGTGCAATAAGGCCAACAACTGATTGTGCAGTACCAGTGAAATTGGGAAGGAATTATGATGGTGGTCCCATAAAAAAGGCAGGCAAACTCATGTGAACTAAAACAGTCAGCTTACCTTTTAGTTACATAGTCCACTCATCACTATTTCAGTACATTGTTTCTGTTCTTTAATAATTTAAACTACAGAAGCTCACCTCAATTTGATCAATTTTGACTTGCTTGTAAGCTTTCTTCATTTCTTTCACCCCCAGTTTCATTGCATCAACCTAGAACAGAGTCAAACAACATGCTTGTATCTGATGTACATATGCAAATTAAACAAATGTGAGATTAATATACTGGTACCGTTGTCTTTGTATCCTTCAGTGCCTGAATAGTGTAATTAGCTTGTTCCATATTAAAAGACTGCTGTGATAGATTATCCCGCTGTTGTTCATACCTGTTAAAAACAACGCAAATAATGGCTTTAAAACACCACTGTTTATTGCCACAAAAATTCTTCATTAAAAAAAATGAAAAGAACAGCAGCAGTAGTCTGAAGATAGGAACAGAATATATTTTTTAATTTTTAATAAACAATCACATCAGAATAAATAGCTTAATAAAAATCTGGCTATTATGCATTTCTTTGACTTTAAAGTTGACAAAGCTACTCCTGAACTAAGCTTCTGTTTTACCTGATGGCGATACCATATTTGTGTGGGCTTACATAGTAGGTAAGGATGTAGCAAAGGTTTTTATCACTATCACTGCTCACTAATGCTGTAAGCAGAATGGAATAAATACAGGTTACCCAAACCACAGTGGCTCCACATTGGAGCTTTGGAGGGCAGGGAGAGAAGGAGATAGGGTAGAAAAAGGAAACTATTATGGCTAACCAAAAAGAAAAGGGAGACTTTAGAACTCAAGAAATCAACACCCTCAAAGCTAAATTTGAATGTAAAATACGTCAGGTTGAACATATAAATGAACAATAATTCCTTCTTCAAACATCCAAGGCAGTAGGTCTGCAAGACAAGTATGATTCAAATACAAAAAAGCTTCTAGACAAGGAATTAATATATTACTGTTTAACAAGATGGAAAAGAGAGGACTGAGGGACAGGATGATAGCCTGTTATGAGGGGCCCAGTGACTGTAAATAGGGGAACAACTATCAGATTAGGAGGCAGCAGAGAAAAAAAAAAACAAAACCAAACAAAACCCCAAACAAACAAAGAAAAGAAAAAAAAAGAAAGCAGTTCTTCTCACAACATCTAACTAAACTATTACATAGATATTTTGGATTTTAAGTGTCACAAATACTTAACAAGTAATTGAGCAAGTCTGTAGAAGCGCAATTCTTCTGAGGGATACGAAATGCAAGATGACAGAAGCTTTGGCTCAGATAGCACCTAAGAGATGTGCAGTTCAGGGACTGTAGGACATTCCAGTGAAGTACCCCTGAACACGTGCCACATTCTGACATTCTTCCCTTTGTATTTGTTGCTGGACACTTTTCAGGACACCATACTAGGGACACTTCTCAGGACAGCATATTAGGCTAGACTGGACTACAGTATCACCTATCCTATCCATTCTGGTTTTCTGCATAGACACAATTACCTGTGCTACATGTGCTCCAGTCCTAAGGGTGTCCACAGAGAACAGGTTAATTTCCAGTAAACCAGAACAAGCTCGTGAAGTGCACA